AGGGTTTAGGGCTCAGGGTTTAGATTGCAATGTTCAGGGTTGAGAGGCTTCGGGTTGCTGCCTGGATAGCATCCTTAGGATATTAGAGGTTTCGGGGTTTGGGTGAAGCCTCAACTGAGGTTTGGTGAGCCTAAAACCCCGCAACTTAGCATTCCGTTCTTTTATTTGTCACTCCGAAGTTCTGGAGGAGATTTCGGATCGTCTGGGTTTCTGTTAGGTTTAGGCTTGGGGTTTGGGACCGACACGATGATGAGACTGATAAGCGGTATTTTGAGTTCCGATGCCTGCAGTGTCACCATCACCCAACATACTGTCACCAGTGTTACCATCATGAACTGGTTTTCATTCTTCACATCCGGATGTGAAGCCGAGCGACTGGTGCTTCGCATTGACTTTGCCCAGTAGACGCCGAACCTGATGTTCGAAGCCTTAGTTAACGACGCCGTAGATGCGGTTCCTACTAGGTCCTACTATGAGCTTGCCCGAGACAGTGTCTTAGGGCGGGCGAGTGCTGTGCAGTTAAGCCCAAAGTCGTCATCCCAGCATAAACGCAAAAGCTGCCATGAATTCCCGGCTCCGATAGCCAGCTAACATGACATGGCCAAGCATCCAAGATGGCGAATACGTTGCTGTCAGATCTAAAGGATAAGCAGCAATTGAGGAGTCAATTGGTTCACACACTGTAACACCTGGGTGGTTGTCAAAATTANNCCCTAATTTTGACAACCACCCACCTATGTAAAGCTTATCCCGCCGCAAACAACGACAACATCAAGACCGGAGGCTGTGTAAGTCCACAGGCACCTGAGACCTTAAATCCTCGAGGGAAAAGCCCTCACAATCCTAAAACCGTACAAGGGATTGGGGTTTAGGGTCTAGAGTTTACGGTTTAGGGTACCCTGCATGAAGTCTGGCCGGGTAGCCCAACTCCAACATGCAATCTGCCTCGTCTAGCACCACATAGTGCACCATCGACAGAGACCTAAGGTTGAGGTTTTAGGATCTGAGCACGAAGCCCCAAAGCCCCTAAGCCCTAAATTCCACAATGTCTCGCCTAGTGGAGTTTGGTGAAGATGCACGAAAAATCGAAGCGTCCTGCCTTCGACTATAGCGGCTGACAAAGATCCTGCCAATGCAGTCCGTAAATCACAGCTTCTCAGCCAATATATACTCGCATCAGTGAGCTGAACCTCTCTACTTCAAGCCTACGCCCCATTCCGCGCAAAGCTCAGGGGCCCTTGGGTTAAGCTTTATCCCTAAACCCTAAATCCTAAACCAAGTTGTTGTGTTGTTGTTGTTTACGGGCCCTTTTCCGACTTCCCCATTAAGTCAGAGAAATAAAAGGTTAAACTTTCAGATCACTACTTAGTTAGAAGAACCCAAAATAAAGGTTGGGTAATTATTGGAGAACTAATTCCAACTGCATTTATGGAGTTTAGGGTCCTTGGGTTCCTGCTATCCTCGCTCGACCGCAAGGGATCTGCCAAAGCCTGCAGCAGTTGAGTTGACTCTGGGGTTTAGGGGTTTAGGGGTCTAAGGTTTTAGGGGTTTAGGGGTTTAGGGGTCTAGGGTTTTGGATTTAGGTTTTGGGGGGTTTAGCGCCTAGACAGTAATCGCCATCATCATCATCATCATCATCATCATCATCATCGTCATCATCATCATCATCACCATCATCATCATTAGGCCTGGAAATATATGTGCATTATTATATATATACATTCTGAAAACAAACTCCCGAGCTAACGGGTCTTGGGCCTAGGATGGTTGATGGTTCAACGTCCGCAGGGTGTGGGGGTGTTGAGAACAGCCGGGCCACAAGATTTCGCGGCCAGTGAATCTATCGGGCTGCGACACCAAATCATCCAGGCGCCCAGGTGTGGCCACAATGAGGTCGACGCCTTGATCCAACGACTTCACCTGTCAGGGGGTTCAGGGCTTGGGGTGTAGGGCCCAGAATAATAAGTTCGCGTTCATATTTCAAGGCCTGATTTGCGACCTGAAAAGGCAAACCTCATGAACACATGAAGGCAAAGCCTAAACCCTACACCCTAAACCCTGAAAACCGAAACCCCTTAAACCCCTAAACCCTTATAAACCCTAAACCCTGAAACCCGAAACCCCCTTCCCCACCTGCTCCCCTTTCGAGGTGCCACCGAAGAGGCAGGCCAGGCGGATGCGAAGCGCCAGGCAAAGTCCCTTTGCATCTTTGGCAATTTGGACGGCCAGCTCTCCTGGCCCGGGGGGGCAGGGAGGCTAAGAAAGGTTTAGGGTTTAGGGGTTTAGGGGTTTAGGGGTTTAGGGGTTTAGGGGTTTAGGGGTTTAGGGGTTTAGGGTTTAGGGGTTTTGGGTTTAGGGGTTTAGGGATCTAGGGGTTTAGGGTTTAGGGTTTCAGGGTTTGGGGCTTAGGGGTTTAGGGTTTAGGGTTTCGGGATATGTTACCCAGAGGGTCCATATATACTCGAAT